AACTGCCCTCTGTTACATATACATGGCACTTGCATCCTTTATTGCCTTGCCTACTTTAGCTGTTTTTGTCTATTTTTATTTTGCCACCTGTAGTGTGTTTAAACTTTCCTTCAAGCACCTTTAAAACTATGAACACAGTCAAGTTCAAGACACTGCTCTTTTATCGTTGTGTGGGAAACCAATATTAGATCCTTTGCATAACTGAAGAATGAGATGAAGGAGGGCCAGCTTAACCTGAAGAAGCCCATTCAGCCCATTGTGATTTGAGTTTTGTGGATTCTTATGGGTGTCTGTATTGAATACAGCTTTGTCCTGTTGCGTCATAAAAGGATGAATAAATCTGGTTGCACTTGTGTATAGTTCCGACATAAATGTATCTTGCAACTTTTCAAAAACGTTGACCTTCATCCTAGTGTGTTGCTTAATGTTCATCTGCCATATTATTTAGTGGTTGCAATAAAGACTACTGCATCTCTGAGTTACATACTGATACAAACATTGCTGAGATCATCTGAAAATGTCTTGTAGCTGTAGTAGGAACTAATGCCAAATGTTCAAGTTAAAAATGATTAGACTTTGCTCTTTTGCGTTAGGCACTGTATCACACGCTAGGATGTTGCAAGTGTTCCCCACCCTGCCTTTTACACTCTGATCTTGCTTTCTACTTGGTCACTTGCTTATGTTTAGTGGAATCCTTCAAGAAAGATCTAATAAAAATGCAGCTTTCTGAGGCTTCATTTTTCAGTCTTTGTGAATTAAGACAGAAGCATGATGTAGTAGAATAAAAGATTCCCTTAAAAACACCACTAGGAAAAAAAAAAGTGGTTGTGTATGTAGCCACCAATGCCTACTTCAGAGAAAAAAAATTGTAATTCCTGGGTAAGCTTGCAGGAAAAACTCTATGAGAACAAATCTCTCTTCCCTCAACTATCAGATGGCATAAGGCGAAGAACAAGTTTCTGGAGGAGTGTTGTCCTGGAGGTCTGTCAGTGCTTGGTATCTGCTGGGGAGGTGTTGAAACCTTTCAGCCCACCCCTCAAAGCTCCTCCAGGCCTGAGGTCAGTGCTGGTATCTGCACGAACTGGTTATCCTGTGGTGAGCGAGGTATGTGTGTCAATAAGCTCCTCGGTGGGCTTCAGATTGCTTACAGCTCTTCAAAGTATACTTAAAAGTAAATGCTCTTGCAGCCATTGGTTCTGATGTGTGTTGTTGCAGTGTCTTGGAGATTAGGGAGCAGTGACAGCTCTGCAGAGCTCAAACCTGCCCTTTGGGAATCAGCAGAATGGTACCAGCTAGGTTACAGCCATATTACTGCTGGCTAGCTCTGACGGTCATCTGCGCAACTTGTCGCTTGCTGTCCACAAGCAGCAGGGCCTACAATGAGAAATATTTTGCAAGCAGTTCCCTCCTAGAATTCAGCAAACCAAAGGTGAAGTGTATCGCTTGTCAGTCGTGCTTGTTCTCGCTTCCTGTTTCTGAAGGTAGCTTACAAATTCACTTGCTTAGTTTAAGTTGCTCTTAATTCAGCCTTACTCTGAGTGACTGCAGGAGAATGTTGGTTCTTCTTTGCTTTTGCCTGTCTCTAAGATTCTAATATGTTGTGTCTTGCAATAAAGTAGCAGCAAAGTTTTATCCCCCTCTAGCTTTGTCCATTAAAAAATTCAACAAAAAAAAAAAGATCTACAAACACAGTAGGATAGGAAGGGCAGAAGCTGTGAAGAAGTTGGGCGGAAGTTGGAGCAAGCTCAGTTTGAAAGTTGATGTATGAATTCCAGACATTTTGATGCCCTATTGCTTAAAAGGGGAAGGAGACTTTGTATCTTGACTCCTTTCCCACTCTTGTAATGAATTCCTATTTTATTGTGGTCTATGTCCTGTGGTAATAAGTGCCACAGAGTTGCTGTTTATCAGGAAATCTCATTTGGAAAAAAATTATATTTCCCTTTAACTTTGACTCCTTCCACTCTTAGCTCAAAAGACTAAAGTGATTAGATAAGTAGGGAGATTAACAAAAACCCCACCCTTTTAAGTAGGTATATGCAGGTCATGCAGAAGAGGTCTCTTGGTTTTTAGTTTGATAAATAAGATTTGATACTGTGGTGTCTTTTACATTCCTTGATAGAGGGGTCTAAAATGAGCTGCTTTCTAGCAAGCAAACTAGGCATATTAATTTTTTATGCCTCTGTTCAGATTTAGAGTTTAGTCACCTGATTTTATTCCCACAACTTGGAGGGGAAAAAAACCCCAAAATTTTAAAATATTACTGGATTGGGTGCTATACATATTTATATACTTTTTAAAACTTATTTCCTATAATTTTTTTGGTAAAGTACATCTTGCATTGCTAGAGACGGAGAAAGATAGTACTGCGGAGGATATAGGGACTAGCGTACACCATCACAGAGTGAAGTTTATTGGAGTCCCTCAAGGATTTAATTTCCTAGCTGATTTCTTACTACAACAGGACCAAAAAAAATTAAATGTAGAAACTCTACAGACTTAGTGAAATAGTTATTTAAGGGGATTTATATGGCATAACCTGAATTTAACTCAGTACCCAAAGCACTGCTTCTACTTAGCCATGCGAGGGTATTTAGCAGGAAGTGGTAGCCTGTGTCGCCAGGCTTGCTCTGCAAATGTTTGCTGCTCGCTGCTTCCTGTTACTGAAGTGAAAGAACAAAAGAAACATCAGCCTGTAGTATTGTTTCAGCCTCTAAAAAGTTGCAGTTGCATTTGTTAAATCTCTTTGCATTGTAACAGATGTTTATGGTTTTCCCCTGTATTTGTTCTATTTTTAGCTTTTGATTTCATCTTTATTCAATAAAAATGTTAGGTGGAGTTTCTACTAGAAATCCGAAGTTCTGAGAAGCTATTTTGTGTGCAGATCCTAAGTTTTAGACATGATCAAAGCAGTGGTTGTATAAACCATTTTGGTGCCGTAAGGGAAATGACTAACCACAAGAAACCAGTCTGTGCAAGGCATGGACTGGTGCACCTAATGTCTAACTGCAGTGTAAGCTCACTTTCTCGGAAAACCATCCCGACAGGAGTCTCTTACTATTTGTGCTGATGTGTCTTAGTTTCATTAGTTCGCAGTACATACAAAATTATCTTTAAACCACAGCAGTCTCTGAACCTCATTTTCCTGGTAGGGTTATTATATTTAAGACTAAGATGTCAGGCCTAGATACAAAGTAGCTTCTAAAACTGATTTGATTTGCTCTTGTCCCTGGTAAAATAGCCATTCCAGAAAAATCTGTATTTGTGCTTTTGGAATCTGTGAGGCAAAAAGAAAATATATTGAGAGCCAAGGTCATTTGTTTTCAGACGTGAATACCATGAAGTGTGACTTCAGCAAGTGTTGCAACTAGGTACTAAAGAAATCTTTACAGCGAGGTGGACACAAAGTCCTCCCAAATGTAGAATGGAAATACTTTCATAAGTTCTGTTACACATAATAAAACTTTTTTTGTAATAAATGTCATCCTCGTAGGAATGCAAGTTAATAATAGATCTTTTTTGCCTTTAAATCTTAGTGAATGTTGGGAATTTATGACTGTAGCAGTAGTCATAGCATTTTCAAATAATGCAGTTAACTTCATACGGTGTTAAAAGTGCTGACGTGATGTTGATACTGATAATACGTATTCTTTCGAACTAATGGGCTGAATTATGTATCCTTATCGTAATGTTAAATGGCTGAAACTTGGTATTTTTTGTTCAGTTAAAACGTTATGCCTGTCTGTGAGAAGGGTGAAAGTCAAGTAGTTAACGAATAGCTCTATTTCATTTTCAAATACTATTGTAGTGTATTTTTAAAAAATTCCCATAGCTTATTTCCAGTGCTTCCTGTTCAAGCTGTGGATGAATTTGCAAAGCTAGAGACAGGATTTTCCCAGTTGAGATGCCCTTGATAAGGGTCACTTAAGGTACGGGGAGGGGGGTGGACAAACAAACAAATCATAATGACTGTGACTAAATATCAAGTAAACTTTAAGATTCAGTGAAGGGAAAATGGGCCATCAGCCTCAAAACAGACTAATTTTGGGGAGGCTGTTCTGAGATTCAGGAATCTGGCAATCACATAGCAGGAATTCAGCAGTCTTGTGAATCGGAGCTATGTTATGATATAGGTTTAGAAATGCAAAAGTTAAAATACCCCACCTGCTAGGTTGTTTGGAAATCTTGGCTTGGATTCATAGATCCTTTTGGTGACCCTTCTAAACCGTAACAGATCTTATTGGGCTCTTCTGAATTTATCAATCCCACCTCCCCCAAGTTTAAAATCTGCTTTCAGAAACAGTCACAGAACTGGTAGCTGCCATGTGGAAGAGCAGGGGAAAGAGAGGAGGGAAGCATTTTCTCACTAGCTTTTGGAGCTTTCCAGGAAATTTGAGTTACTCCTATACTGGTGTTCTTGAAACAGTCCCATGGGTAGTCATCTTCAATCACCTTCAGTAACTAGCTGTGTATCTTTTATATCCTATGATACTTTCCCCTTTACTGTAATATCTGATTAGACTTCATGTTCATTAGACATGAGCATTAAAAAAATGGCACTAGTTTTGAAAAGCAACTAGGTGGCCAAAGGATATAATTTTTTTGCAGGTACTGAGCCAGCAGAGGTCCTAGGGAACTGATTTGAATTTCAGGGGCTAGTCAAAAAAGGGGGAGGGAGGGGAAAGAAAAATAGTGATTTAAACTAGTGACCTTACTGGTATGAACTGGAAGAATTTTGAGATTAATTCTTCTTCTAACCTTGACTGATTGTAGAAATGAGCCTGGATTTGTTCTGTTTTCATTGAGCGGAATAATTTCTCCTAGATCTTTTAGATGCAGCTGAAAATCTTGTGCATCCTCAGCACTTCCTAGTGCATGGAAGAAGTGACAGCTTCAGAATAATTGTCTTTTGCCTAACTCTGCTCTTACCCAATCGTTGAAAGGACACTGAATACTTCCTTTTCATTTGTTGCAAAACTTAGTCTCTTTTTCTCTGGCAGGAATCGACTTTAAGATCAGAACTATAGAATTAGATGGAAAGAAAATCAAGCTACAAATATGGTAAGTATTTAGTAAATATTGGATCTTTGAGCGGGAGCACCTCGTAGCTCTCGAGCCTGCGTGTACCGGAAGTCTCGTAACTCTTTTCACTGGCAGTCCTTGAGGCTTATGCTTTCTTTTAGCTTGTTCTTAGAGTGGTTCTGTTTCAGTAGTGCAGGAGACAACCAGTTCGCGTACTAGTGTTATCTTAAATGCAGTTTTAGTTATTCCATATGGAAGAAAAGTATGAATTACGCAGCAGTAGACTAAAATGTGAGCCCTACTAGCTTCTAAATATGTAATCTGAATTCTCTGATACTTTGATACCTGGTTGTACTCACAAATGGACAAGTGATAATGCTGCTTGCATGATGCCTAGTAGAGACTGAGCCTCCTGGTAGCAGCAGATGAGTATTTGTAGGGTAGCCTTATTACACATGCCAAACTCTTAAAATGCTACTGGTGAGTGCGAAGGTTATTGCTGATTGCTCAGGTCCTAAAGTCGCAATTCTCTCTTAAAACTTGCATGCCAGCCAGATTTCTTGTGACAAAGGAAGTGAAATGCTAGAAGTGGTTGGTACAACTTTTATACCTCTGATAGCAGTCAGATGGCTAGGTTTTTTCAGGTCTTTGGGGTTCAGCTCCCTCTAGGAGTACTAGTATCCAAACACTTTGGTCATCTTGTTCACTCCCAAATGCTACTTTGAAGTAATCTAGGATAAAATATCAGCATACTAAGGTGTAGTGGCTGGTTTTAATAGCTAGTTGTCCACAAAAATGTACTATCCTAAAAATATCTTACTGCTGTTTATGTTAATTCTTGTTTAATGCAGGACTCGGCTGTATCAGAGCTGCTTTTGTTATTCTAGAGAAGGCTGTGTAGCACTGAGTTTTCATGGTTTGCATGAAAATTCAAGTGCTTTTATACCATATTTATGGTGCTTCTATAACTACTGGTGTAAATATGATAGCTGAGGGGGAAGAGGGTGTCAAAGGCTGAAGAAATTTGTGCAGATAGCTTCTAAATGGTACTTTGCTTAATAAGTATCAATACACTGTTATTCTATTAAAAAAAAATCTATTTCAGTACAGAAGAGTTTAAAGAAGGTATCCAACAAGTATTTGTTTTCACTGAATTTTAGGGATACAGCAGGCCAGGAGAGATTCCGCACAATTACAACAGCTTACTACAGAGGAGCCATGGTGAGTGCTTTTCTTTCAAAAAATTTAGGTACAGCTAGTGTAACTGGTTTGTTGCTCTTAAGGTTACATCACGTAAGAGTTTCTGACTGGAGGCTTGGAGTATTGTGGCTTGTGACGTGGTGAATAAAGTGGTGGGTAGGTTTTTTGTTTTGTTTTTGACTGGTTGTTTTTTTTAATCTGCTACTAGTGTGTTAAATCCTGTTTTCTGTGATGAACCTTTGAGCCCAACTGTCTTTTTTATTATAGTTGTAGTCTGTGCAGGTATAGTAAGCTAAGTTGCTAAGCTTTACTTTGACAACTTTTTAAAAATGCAATAGGTGCAGCCGTTGTAATACAGTTGAAGTGCCTGAAAAATAGGTAATAAATGTTTTAAATATTAAGAATGTATTTTGCTGAGTTGCTTTTCCTGCTGCTCTTCATCACCTTCAGCTGGTCAAGAATGCAAAATCTGCATTCACTAGAAGTGTGATTGCATATAAAAGCCACTTTAGCTTCTTCCTCAATTAAGGATGACTTGAAGTCAAATAACTGACTTGGAGGCTGCACTCTGTGTGGTACAACTACTTCTAATGGTTCTTAAATACCAGGATTTGAGATGCTTTAGGTTGCGATACTGTTAATTTCAGCTTGCTGATTATTAGGTATACTGATACTATGACTTCTCTCACTTTGTGTGAACAGATGAGTTCCATTCATAGACCAGTTGTGCATCCAAATAGCCCCCTTGTTATGGAATGCAGATGGGGAGAAATAGTTATGGTCATGGTCCTGTGTTAGAGCATTAAGCACTTAAGGGTTTGGCAGTGATGGAGTCTTCTCCCTACCTCCTGGTGCATGGCCAAGGACCTTTCTTGATCTTACAAAGGATGACTGGAAAGGCAATAAAGAATGGAGGTGAACTTGACAACGTGTGTTTAATGCAGCTGCTGTGTGGTTTCACTTGCTTAGCTACTTCTCGAGCTTGTCCAGGAATATGTATACAGCTATGTGAAAGAGCTCATGCTTCTGTGAGAGCGCCTAGTGCCAGCTTTGCTGTAAATATCTAGTGGCACCAGCAGTCAGATCTCATGGGACTTCATCCTTTGACTGCATAAAGCTGCTGCTTCTAAACTTGACTTGAACAACAGAGTCCTGGTCTCAGTTCTAGTAGGATTTGTAAACTTTTCCTGATCATAGGCCAATGATTTAAAAATTCATACCAGTACTGTGTTCAAATTCTATCGAACAGTGCCAAGAGATGTTAAATAATATTTAGTGTAAACTTTCAGCAGAGGCAAAATGCTTTGAGAAAGGATTATTGATTGTAGGGGCATGAGTTCTATCTATACTGATTTTTTTTGCAAGTATAATAAAACCAACAACATTCATCAAAAGTAAACTAATAGTACTCGCTCATCTGACTAGATTTTTCTTAATTTTGTTTAGGGAATTATGCTGGTGTATGACATCACAAATGAAAAGTCTTTCGACAACATAAAAAACTGGATAAGAAACATTGAGGAGGTAGGTGCTCTGCAATAGGGGGCATTGGAAAGTGTTTCTTACTGTTTGTACCTTATGATTTCTCTGGGGCAAATAATAATCAAGTAATTATTTACTTCTATGTAGCAGCCAACATATATGACCAAATTAGACAGTGCAGTGAACTGGAACACTGGTTACTAATAGGAAGAATGTCTCTCTCATTTATCTAGGCACAGAAAGTGGGAAACTTGGAGAGGTTTAAAAAGCAAGCATAAAATAAGTGTTTCGAAACTGCTCTTTCTATATGGTTTTCATTGCTCTTTTTTCCTTTTGGATGTGTCTAAGGAACAGGAAGGAGAAAGATCTTGGGGTATCTGCCTTGCCCTGAGGTGGACGACAGACCTGTCTAATTTCAGTTGCTATTTTGTGTTGTATGTTTGTCCATTTAAATATTTTTGTCCTTTTCATGTGGTCTTGGGTAAACTGCCTGCTAACCTCTCAAATTATTTAACACGACATGCTGTCAAGTAGGGGGAGGTCAGTATGAAGTTGTAGGGGAAGCCCTGATTTAGTATTAAGTGAAGCTGTAGTTAGGTAACATATCTTAGAGAAAAAACAGTAAGATTAAAATCCACAGGCTTTTCCTTATTGTTGTTCTTTGGCTCTGTAAGCAAAATTCCTGTGTTAATGATCAATTTAATGCAGTGGTGACTGGGCTAAAAAGGTTGTGCTGAAGTGATTATTACTTAATAAGTCTGTCATTAATGATCTCTCTTAAAAATGCAAGTGTGTTGCATAATGATACTCCAACCAAATACTGCAGATGTAATGGTACACGCTCTACTTCAAACTGGTGCGTGGACGGATCCAAAATAGCCAAATGCCTGTGTATATTTGCAACCTGGTACAGAGCTGGTGCTGCTGTAGTGATATTCAGGCAAATTTAATGTGGGAATCTTTTTTTTTTTTTTTTTTTTAAATTTTTAATTATTGGATTGCCTTTTTTAAAAGGC